GCCGCGCTGCGGCCGCAGTGCGCGGAGCCCGCGTGGGACGCGTTTCCCCGCCGTGGTGTGAGTAAACGCAGCCGGCTTTGAGCTCGCGGGTGGGTGCGCGAGTCGGCCCGGTTGGAAAGCTGCTGTGGGAGATTTTGTGGGTGCACGTAAAAATCTCTTCCTTACATTCATATTCCATAAGACTCAGTAAATAGGCATGGAAACTGAAAGCATGAAAACTGTATTGTGTATATTCTAATGTTTCAGTTTATTGTTTTATATTTTGTAATTAGTGATGTTTTGCAAATCTGCAACAAATGACAGAGCAAAAAGGATATCATAGTTCACTTATTTTATTCTCCTAGTGAAACTGAAAAGGTTACTTTATACAGAAAATATGTCAAGCTGGAATGCCCTGCAGCCTCCTGTAGAATTAAGGTAGGGATTTCTGTGCAATTGTTTAACTTTTCGTTGTCTTTTTAAATCACTTGTTTGATTAAAGTTATCTTGGGTTGTTGTTGGCCAAATTACTTTTATTTTTATACAGTAATTCTTTCACATAATTACTTAAAGTCGCCTAAATGATCTATAGTTTTGATAGCACAGCTCTTTTAATCCTATCAGAGATGTCTTTTTTAAGAAGACTTAATATGTATATATGCAAACAATGTCCTCTTAATGATAAAAGTCTGTGAACTAGATAAATTGTAAATTATTAACAGCTGATATATAATCAGAACTTCAAAATAATGCATTCACTAGTAACTGTACAGTTAAATAAACTAATGAAAGTCTATGTGGCTATCACTTTTCTTAAGTGTTTGGAGCATCAAGACTTAATTTTGTGGCATGCATCTTCTGTTCCAGTCAGATTTCTAAGAGTAATGGCAAGGTAAAATGATTTTAATTTCCCCAGATAAGATTTCTTTTTAAAAATTTCCAAGAGTAGTGGAATACACTCATTCTCATACAGAAAATACATTTTTTCCTTAACCAAAATATTTTTTCCCCAATAGCTGCTCTCCATTGGTGAGAAACAAAGAGTACTCATCAGTAAAATAATAGTAGAAGTGAAAAGAGCATCTGCAAAACTAGCAACTGATTTTCCTTCACTAGGATCAAGCATAGATCTAAACAGAGTGCAAACTATAATGGAGTCCATGGGGTCAAAGTTGTCTCCAGGTGCTCAGCAACTCATGGATATGGTCCGATTTCAGCAGAAAGTAAGTCATTGTTCTGCTCCCTAAACATGAATAGTACCACTCTCAGACCTAATCTTCTGTAACAGTTAAATATGTTCTAACATGGTATGTTGAAAAAAATACTTTTAGTCCAACCTTTCTGCTGTTTAAATCCTGGTTTTGCTATTGCCAGGCTTAAAGATGTGAACATAAATGATGATTGCTTACCCAAGGGAATTGCTATGCATGGATCATCCCTTATTTAAGAGCTTTGTACCTTCATGATCATCTTAAACTTCACTGACACTCCATCTTCCTGCCTCTCCAGCTTTCCCTTCTGTTTCAGTTGTCAGGGCAGGATCGTGGGTGCGTTTTCTGTTGCTCTTGGGGTGTAGGTGGATGGGATGGTTTGTCTGTCTCTAAAAATCCATCCTCTTTGGCTGAAGGAAACAAATTCTTTAAGAACATTCATTTTGTTTAAATCCAAGTCCTCCAAAGCGGACTATTTTAGCAGAATCTCGTATCCATCTGATGTAAGAAATGATCAGTCTTAGGGCCGTAGCATGATAAAGATCTGTTTCAAAATTGAACTCTGAAAAACTGAGTCTTTTTCTCACAAGATATGCATTAGTATGCAGTATATGTGCAAACAAAATATTTCTGTGCTTTTTTTTCTAAGAATGTAATTCACAACTACTTTTAAAATCTTTACATCACTTAGTAGAATGTTCTTATTACAAACAGATATAAAGGATGTATTATTACATAAGTTCCAGTATATTTTATATGGAGCTATGACATGTACTTTTATTTTATTTTCATCAGAATACTTTACCTCTTGGAGACAAACTTAACTGGATCTTTGAGAAAAAATCTCACTATGAAGATGAACATCCAGTAGATGGATTGCATGGTGCAGCTGTTCAGACATCACTAGATCTACCATCCACTGAACCTTTGCCTGATACAAATTGTTCCTCAAGTGAAACAGTATGTGAAGACTTAAAAACAAATCTCAATCAAAACACAGAGACACCTGAAAGAGAGAACAGTTCTGATTCTGAAAGAGTTGCTACTCAGCAAAATGTGCTGGACCCCAGAAATGATTTTAAAATAATGAGATCTTTGCTTATGCAAGAGCAAGCAAGTGAAAATCCAAATATAACAAATCCAAAAGAACTTCTTCCTTTTCTTCAAAATTTATGTCGTCAGGTAAATCATCTTCGGCTAAAAGATGGAAATAGGCGTTTTGAGAAAAGCACTGCGACTAAGGAAGAAGGCATTCAGTGTGTTGGGTGAGTTACATTTGATAAATTTATTCAAAACCTAGTAGTTCATATTGATTGGTAAAGTTTTTTAAAAAGGGTAAAAATGAGTCTTAAAACGTGGTTTTGGAGGCTGTGTGGTGACAAACATATTTCAATTGATTTTTTTTCAGATGAATTGCTTGAAGATTTAAAAAGAGAATCCTACATTGTTGTGTAACTGTGTCTTTTTTTTTCTATATTTCACCATCTTTGGTTTCAAAAAAAGTGTGGTCTTTTTCATTATTACATATATTTAGTATGTCTTTTTCCTGCTATTGCGTTCTTTCTTTGGCTATGTCCACTTCCTAAACTGTCATCTCACTTTGTTTTATATTATTTGCTGTAATCTCTCTGCTATTCTTAATGTATCTCATCAGTCTTTCCTTTCCTTCCTCATTTTTTTGCCCTTGCAGGAATAATAGTAGTAGTGTGTGCAGTTTGAAACCTAAAGAACTGTAGTAGAACACATGAGATTCAGGAGGGTAGCAGGACTCTGAACCTGGATAGCTCCATCATCTGGGAAAGTATAGTACACTTAAAAAAAATGCAGATGCAAAAGATAGAGTTGCATAGTGTTATAAGTATTGAAACACATTGTAAGAATAATGCCTGTGACGCTGACAGAATCTGAGCTCTGCCTATCCTGTTGAGTTATGTATGAGTCTTTTAATACATAATTAAGATTTTCTAAATACAGAGTTGAATGAAGATGGCTATTTATATCTTAGTGTGTATCTTAGTTTTCTAGGATTTAAAAAGTGACAGACAGTAGGGAATTCTACTTGTGCTAAAAACCTAAGAGCACCTCTCGTCACTTTTTCCTAAACTCCAAGTCATTATGAAACAAGTTACACTTACTATTCTATTTGCTCTTTTTACAGAGTGGAACAACAACCTATTTGTTCCTATTTGGAAAAGATCATCTCAAAAAATATGGATCTGATGGAGAAAAAACTAATGGACTATATTGATTGCCGAATCCAGGCTCTTCAGACACATATAGATAATAAAATGGTTCTGTTAATGGACTTAGTACAGAACTCAAAGTCAAACAAAATTACACAAACACACTATGACACGAGTGAAGGGTTCTCAAATGGAGAGAGATAGATATGTTTTGCTATGGGACTTCCATGTAAGTATTTTTCCAAGGGCGGTTATACGTTACAAAGTCTAGTATTTATGTAATTAGAACTGTAAAGAACCTCAGTGTTGTTGACTTGCATTTGTTACTGTAATTCTATCCACTATTGTACACAGTTATTAGTTCTCTGAAAGATCTTAAGAATGTATGTTTTTCCTAAATATAAGAATTTTGTATGCCTCTTGTGGCTTATTTATTGAAATATTAGTAAAAGCAGTGTGGAATACAGTATTCCAGTCTCAGCTTGAACAATGGGAAAAGTAAATAAACTGAGTTACAGCTTACCTAATTTGCTATATGTCATCAATTCACTTTTCTGCGGTCTGTTGTTTTTGGGGGGGGTGGTTATTATGCATGTGTAATGTGTTTTCAGTAGACCAGAATTTTGCCTCTTTGTGCTTTTGGTCTATTTTAACAGCACTCTTGTTGAAGCTGTTTACTGCTCCAGCTATAATGCTGTTGAAGGACAAGTAGTTTTTGCATTACTTATCTAGACCTACAGTCTACAGCTCAGATTTAGAGACACATTTATAGAGAAAGGTAACTTGAACCGCAGCTTGGGTTCTTTGAAAGCCTCACCAATTGTACAGGTACCTAAGTAAGGAGTTTGGGCTTCTTAAGAGCTAATTAGAACAAGACTGTCATGCTTCTTTCCTCCTAAATTCGTTGAGCCTTGCAGGAGCAACTAAAGTAAATGTATACATAAGTCTTATATTTATTTATGTTTTGTTACCCTTAGAAATGCAAGTACTTCATTCACAGTTCCTCCTAAAAGGACCTCCTTTCTCAAACAACTGCTGTTTGGCAGCCTTAGCCCAGAGAGGTAGTCTTATTTCTTTGTGTTTACTATAACCTGTATGATCAGCTCTGCTGCCAGCTGGAGAGGTAGAAATGTGGCTCCGAGTCTCCATCCTTTGTGAAGATCAGAGGTTCATCCTTCTTTCTGTTTCTTGTTCTCTGAATTCTTGAGGTACCTCCTACTGGTATCATTTACCTATGACTGTATAGGAACTTCAAGGAAGGCTCCAAAGTTAATGCAGAGACACTGGTTATGTTGTATGTCTTAAAATGCAATGAGCAAAAGCTACTGACGTTCTCCAACAACTGTTGACTGAACAGCCTGCTTGGACATGTACAGTCCAGTGTCTGTCCATTCTGTCCAATATTTTGGTCTATGGGAGGAAAATTGATGTTTTGAAGATTCTTGCTTCTTGATGGTAGCAACACATAAGAGTGCATGCCAAAAAGAGGACAATTTGTACAGAACATGCAGCTTGCAGCTGTTTTCCAGCTTAACCTATGCAAGTACAGTTTCAAAATAACTAGAAAATTGAAAATGTCTTGTGCGTCGCAGATCATTTTACAGATGTGAATTTAGTTTTTAGATACTTTCTGAGAAACATCTTGAATAGTTGGATAGTTAAATCATTTATTTAAAAAGGAATATAAAACACAGTCCTAGTTGTTTGAACTATTTTAATTACAAAAAAGTTGAAGTGTGCTTCCAAGCATTGCTGTATTCCATAGCTTTTAGGTGTCTTGTTTTTCAAATGTGTGTGTGTATGCGCATGTTTCTGTTCTGTTTTTCTCCTTGCCACCTTGGAGTGAAAAATCTGTGGCAACTTCTAAATAGTTAATAGGGACTCTGTATTTTTTGGTAGCCATATTGGTGTTGAATGCGATATTTTAATATCACAGCTACCACAACGATAACATTTGCAGTCAAAACCACAAAGGAAAGGGTGTAGAAGCTGTACTGCTGCAGGCTTGGAGTTTCTTCAGCGCGCACTTCAGTGAGGGATTCTGTACAAAGAGAAAGAAAAGTGAGTTCTAAAGTTTGGATTGCTGTGTCACCTCAATGGAAATTCAGCAGTCGTTTTTCTTTCAGATATTTTGGCTTTGAGGAGTTGACCCACACTGACAGCAAATTCTGATTCAGTAGTGCCAAAGAGCTGTAAGTTTTTACAGTGGAGAAAGCAATAGTGCATAAAAGAGGAGCCCGACGTTAGTAAATTTCTTTGATATTGTTGCAACCCAGCTTCTGGCAAGCAATGTTGTCATTGTCCTTTAAAACAAGATAGATTGAAGGCAGGCTGCTGAAGCAAAGGTGGGCAAAGGACTTTTGGTTATAACCTCATCTCTCAATGGTTTACTAGGTGGTCCTTGTTAAAGCTTACTGCCTTTCTGTAAAAGGTGTAAGATACTATGGAAACAGATTAACGTTTTTGTAATGCTTTCATCCATCTGCACGTGAAAGCTTCTCGCATGGTAGATGTGGTCAGTTGCATATAGATACAAAATCTTTCACTGCTATAAATGGGAGGATATTTAAAGTGCTGCTAAGATTAAAAGTAAATGCTTAGTAATTACATTTTAAAAAAAAAACAGTATGTTTAGTGTTTACTATTAGTCATGCCGCTGACACTTTTAAGAATTGGCACCTGAAAGCTCATAGCACAATGGGCCTTTTAGATCGAAATTCTTGGATGAAGCTCTGTGTTCAAGAAAGCTTAGGGCAAGTGTTTCAGAATTGCTTTTCCATATTGCTGACACTTTCAAGAATTGGCACCTGAAACCTCATAACACAATGGGCTTTTTAGATCCAAATTCTTAGATGAAGCTTTGTGTTCAAGAAAACCTAGGGCTAGGAGTATGATGCATGTTACCACACAAGTGTTTCAGAATTGCTTTTCCATA